CCCCAAAACCCCAAAACCCCAAAACCCCAAAACCCCAAAACCCCAAAACCCCTTTGGAGAATGAATATGTTGAAGAATATTCTGTTAAATGGATATAGAGCAGAAGTTAATCATGATTTATAGAGCCATTTATACGAGTATCTACACCTGTTTCTTGTGTAGTATCTCTGTTTCTTTTCTTTAGTCCTTTTGATTTCCTTCTTTCCTCATCTTGCTTCTTAATTTCTTTCAAAATTTTTGACCTTTGACGACTTTTTCATATTGTCAGAATTAAGATTGCACCTCCAGCCGATATCATAATTCCTCCAATTATTAATGAAAGAATAAATACAAGTCTCATTCTCTCATCATAAAGAGTAATATCATGGAATAAATCTCGTGCCATGTCTCCATCGATATCCATTTTCCTGTTATAAAGTAGATAAGGCATTAGATATTGGTTATATCCTTCAGGAGTGTAACTATCATAGAAGAAGTTCATCTGGAACCCTGTTTCTCCCTTAATAATAAGCCCTGACCATGGTTCACAAAGGATTCTGTCATTCCAGGTAGTTTTTCCAGTGATAACCTCTCCATTACTATTGGTAATTTCTGACTGAATTCGCTGAACATTCCCTCCTTCAAGCCTGCTGAACATAGGCTCAGTTACAAAATAGGAAGACCTAAAAACTGAAGAAGCATTAAACATATCGTTGAAATAGAAGTTGTGGTAGGGATTTGAATTATCCAGAGTTATCCCTTCAATTCGTCCCTCAGTGATCCTCTGGTAAATAGAGGTTGGAGTCTCAAAAGCAAATGCCTTAAGTCCGAATGTATTCACTACAGTTTGGAAATCAACCTTAAGCATTGCTTTGAAATAGTCTTCATAGAAGATTAAGTCATCTCTGTTGGTCATATCTGGATTGAACTGAAATCCATCTGTTCCAGCAGCAAAGAACACTTCTTGAGTCCAAGGATTTATCTTAGACTCTTTAACTCCAGTACGGCTTGAGTCTCTATCAACATGATAGAAAGTACGCTCTGCTGTAATATATTCTTGATCACTGTTAAATTTAAGAAGATTCCTTGCCTTATCAGGGTTAATTTTACCAGAAAATAATTCCATTTTGAGAGTTCTTTCAGGAACTCCATTATGAGGCAAAGTGTTAAAATCTGTTCTGACAGTAGGATCTCCACCATATTGAGGATTTTCTTTCTGTACAGAAAGTAAACATTCACTCTCCGTTCCGTTGAAGATCTCTTTTGCAGTCAATTGCCTCACAAGTGGAGGTAAGCCTCGATTTCTGTATAAGAAAGTAAGCCAAATTTTGAAGTTTGAAGTGCAGAATCTCTCTATTTCGGTTCATTCATCATTAAGAATCTTAAGAATAAAGAAGGGATTAAAAAGTCTAGAATCTCTCATTCCTTGAACAATATCAATATAAGTCACATCTATTTCAGGGTCTAATTCAAAACCTTGAAATTTTCCAAGGAAATTGAATTCGGGAGAGATAAGTTTTTGGTCATCTAATCCAAAGAAATCTATGAAATTATCTGCTGGAGATAAATTTTCCAAGATTGGAGGAGGATTTCTGGTAATAATTCCAGACACCATTTGATGGAAAGAAATTTCTTGAATGGAACACCAAAGGTCCCCTTCTTTCCTGCATATTTTATCGAGTAATCGTGCTCCTATAGCATCCATCATAGATCGTGTAAATTGTACAAAATCACTGTAATCATCATTAAAATATTTATCAAATTCTTCAATTTTTGACGAAGTTTCTCGTTCTAAAAGTCTAATATCTTCAGGACTACGTCCAATATAGAGTCTCCACCAGAATTCGGCTCCCTCTAGAGTACTGACGTCAAATTTTGGGATGTTACAGAATGTCGAAGCTCGCTCTAATGGAAACAATCTCACAAAAGAAGTTCTGCAATCATCTAGAGCTAAGAACTTAATTGCTCCTTGAGCTATCATTCTACTTGTGAAGTTAGCTCTGAATCTGATGAATTCATTTTTCAAAATATCAGTTAGCCCAAATGCGACGCTAACTTTATCAAAAGTACTCTCTGATTGAGTATTTGATCGAAGGAAAGTATTATCTATCAAGTTTCTGAGAAAGGAATAAACAATGAAGAGCTCTCCAGCAGAGGCTTTATTATTCATCTCATCAGCCAAAGGTTGAAGCTTGTAAACCTCGTACTTTCCTGTTGAGCTGTCTATGTTAATTTGAGATCCCAAATCAAAAAGAGTTTTCATATTTGTAGCATTGAAAAGGGACATCTGTAGGTCCTCTTGCGAAAAGAGTTTTAAGAGTCTATTCTCAGTGGCTGAGCTTCCTCCAAATTCAACATCTTTAAATTGGTCTCTAATGTCAGTATTTTTAAAGAAGACTTCTTCAAGAAAAGTTGGGAGATCAACCTGACCTGCCACCAAAGAATCCATGTCAGTTATAGATTTTGGCTGTCCAAGAATTCTATTTGCAGCTTCCTTATCAGCCCATTGACGATAGAACATTATCTCAGGAGATAATAATCCCCTCATTCTAAAGGCAGCTGCTACTGCATATGCTGAAGAATCCCAATCCTCGCAGAAGAGGATTAAGAATTTATCAAGACCATCATTTGGAAGGAAAAAGTAATCTTTGACGAATGTTCTTCCGAATGGAAGCCTTCCTTCACAAATGTCTCCCCAAAACTTTGCATTTCTGAAATTAGAAAATCCAAAAATTTGGTCAGTCCACATGCCTTGTATCGCCTCTTGAGAAATCTGTGAGTTACCGTTGAAAGCAATCAATCGATTATCTGTAAAAACTTCCTGATTAGCATAATTATCTTGATAATAATTAATCCTCATATGTTCCAGAATTAGATGATCTCTGAATTGTACAGATGTATAATTTATCATCCCACTAAGTGATCTTATAGCTCTAAGCCAGTCATCCTCAACTCTATGGCTATATTGCATTATAAAAGTTTCAGGGTTATAGACATAGAAGGAGTCTGAAAGATCAGAAGTCATCTTTCCAGAAGTCCTTGTATGATAAAATTTTACATAATCATCAAATGAGAATAGTTCTCCAGTTTCATTAAAAATGTCAGTTGCTTTTGAAACATCAACAGTCTCAGTATTTCTCTCTTCATTGAATGTCCAAGGACCGTACATCTGGCTAATCGGCCTTTGTCCATAAAGCACTTCTCTAGGGTTACTAATATTAAATACATGAAATTGATGGTTAAGACTTCGCTCTCTCGTGCCAGGTATGTCTCCCCAATCATCAATATTATGAACTTTCAGCACAGCAAGCTCTCTTCCTAATGTCTGAATCCTATTCCTCAACATAATCCCTCCAAGGATCCCTCCTGCAATCACACCTAGCCCTACCAAAACCATCAACACCGAGAATACATAAAGCCACAAAATTCCCCCTCTCATCTTATTTGCAGTCATACTTAATCCTCTTTCTCCGAACAAAATTATAAAATTACAATACAACTTCTATAAAATGGGGTTTTGGGGTTTTGGGGTTTTGGGGTTTTGGGGTTTTGGGGTTTTGGGG